TGACAAACAAGACAATTTGTTGCATAATTCTTGGCCAATACATTTAACTTTGCACTTTTGTTATTTTGCAAACTGTTTTCAAATTTTCTGCATTCTTCTCTATCTCTAAACCAAGCTAACTTGACATTTCTTACATCGATAGATTTAAATTCATATTTTATGTAAAAACATTGTATTACCTACAGGTATTTTGAAGTAAAAAATCAACTGTACTTTGGCTGCAAGGGAAGCATTACAGAAAATTAAACATATAGTTGTAAAACTTGATATTACACAATCAACTATTGCTGAAGAAGTACACAAGAACAACTCGTGGAATCCTGGGGGTATACAGGTATTTTACACCCCACAAAAGAACAACTCTGGGAATCCTGGGGTATACAGGTATTTTACACCCCACAAAAGAACAACTCGGGGAATCCTGGGGGTATACAGGTATTTTACACCCCACAAAAAGTTGATGCAATATATGCTTAGTATTTTAAAAAGTATTTTTTTAAGTATTTATATAAAGTACTTTTTAAAAATATTATATAAAGTACATTTCAAGTATAATAATTATTTTATATCTTTTACTCAAAGGCTCAAATGATACTACTTTCTTTCAAAATTTGCAAAAGTTAATGTAAAATAAATTAGTTTGTAGCTTCACATATAAAGAAATACAAAGAATAATAAAGTATTTAAGTAAATTTTAAGTAATATTTGGCATCTCAACTTATTTTTCATTCCTGTTAATAGAATCATGTTTAAATTTTAACTTTCAACTTTTGCAATTCTACAAAATAGTCCATCTTAAAATCTGCTAAATATTATTGAAGTATGCGTTCAAGATTATGTGTTGAGAAAATCTGTTGTCTTCCCCTGGGTGCTCGTCACAAAAAATAACAAAAGAAAAATTATTTAATATCAGAATGAATAAAAGTCAAACATCTACAAGAATTATTACTTTTATTGGTTTACATCATATACTGAATCTTCAGAATAATGTATTTGGTTGCCAAAATTCTGTGATGTCAAAACTAATAAAAATGTTTTGATTACTGGATATATACACAACAAATGATGAATTAGCTAGATATCTTCTCTTGAAGTGTAACTATTTGGAATGTGGTTGTGATATTGACACAGTTTATACGAGGTATAGCTGGTTTCCATGGTATTACAACATCACTCCCTACAAACAGTGGTTGAAGGTCACATGACTTCACATGCTTAAAAGTCACATGGCATAAATCTAGCCAATCACAGAAATTCAGAGAATTAGAAGTAAAGGAAATCCAATATTTGTAAATGGTGTGATTGATTTCAGACAAACGACCCCTAAATACAAGTCTTTGTCTTTTCAGAAGCCATCTCCATCTAACTCGACTAAACCGACCAGGACCTTCATCTTCTGGAAAGTCGGCACTAAACGAAAGATTATCAAGAACTTCATACATCTTTACTTTTTTTCCAAACTGAAATAAAAACATTAAAAAAATTTTAAATTACAAAAACAAATAATCAAAAAATACTGAAGTTTGGTAAAGACCAGATACTTATTATTACTAATCTGAAGTTATTGTAAAGTATCAACAGGAATGTTGAAAGGATTTTTGCTGAGATCTTGTTAGAGCGATAGAGTCTGATGACATGTTTTGCCACTCTCTCTCTTATCATCACATCACATGGCCTACCTAAGATAATTTCTTATTGCAGGTTTAATCAAATTGTTCATAGAGGTTGCTATGAATTGGCGAAAAATTAGTGAAAATAAAAAAAAATGCATACACTCTTTGTTTGTTACGCACAGTGACCAGAAACAATTTTTAGATTTTTTGTAATTTTGTGCTATATAATCAAATGAATGGCCTGGGTGGAATCAGGGATTCAGGGCATTGACGCTGCAGTTCGGCGTCTTGTACACCGATCTGAAGCATATCGCGCGAGGTGTGTCGGGAGTTTGTTCGAAACTTCCAAAGTTTCGAAGTCTATTGTCGATTGCCACGTATTTTACAGATATATTAAATCGTTTCAGAGACCTGTTTACTAAATAATGATAAATGAAACTTAGAAAACTTGTAAGAACAAACTGGGCCCAAATTGCGCAAATTGCAATAAGTTTACGCTGCTAGAGTCTGGTTCGAATGGAGTTCTACGCGTGATTTTATTGCGCTCAAGGACGTTCTATTTTCGAACTAGTTGAAACAGGAAATAACGCAACTACTTTCGAACTTCAAACACAAATTTGATTATCGTTATTATGTGTTAGTTTCTGTTGTTTCAAAGATAGAATTATGTATGACAATAATATTTCACTCTATAAACAATATTTCACTAAAATATGTGATTCAAAGGCAACCCAAATTGTAAAAAGCAATATCAAGTTCCACGTATAAACACTGTTGTAAAGAGGCGGCGGAGCAGAATTTTAGCCAAAATCGGCTAGTAAGGCGTCATATGACACAGGTTTGTGCTGGGACAGCGCTTCCGGTGTCGACACAACGGGATTCAGGGGACATAATCAAACAAGCTATGCATGGCACAGTCCCTGTTAGTTATCAAATTTGAGATATATAGTTATGTTTATAGTAATATAGCTGGAATATAACGATGTCAGGATAATGATTTTTTAACATTAAAATGAGTGACATTTGTATCTGATCGTCAAACAAGTACTTGTCCATATTGAGAGATATTGCTCTGGAACAGCATTCAGCCATTTTGAATACATATATATATATACATGATGTATAACGAATATATAAAATTTGAATATAATCAGTCAAAGCATTTAAGAGATATGGCTCTCGAAGCCCATTCATTAAAACAAAATGACCGCCAGCCAGCTATTTTGAATCCAATCTGAAAAATAAAATGACGTGCATCAGGAACCTGTAATGTCTAATGTATGTTATACGTTTGAACAAAATCCATCCATAAATGCAAGAAATGCTTGATATTTGAGGATTTTTCTAGCACAAAAATAGCCACCATTTGGCCACTTTAAAACAGATCGTTAAACCAATATATTTGTATATCTATGACATGATGTATAATGAATATTAAAAATTTGAACATAATCAGTCAAAACAAGTCAGACATATGGTTCTGGAAACCCATTCATTAAAACGAAATGGCCGCCAGACAGCCATTTTGAATCTGATCTGACAAATAAAATGATGTGCATCAGGAACCCGTAATGTTTGAACGAAATCCATCCATAAATGCCAGAAATGCTTGATATTTGATGATTTTTTAGCACAAAATTGACCACCATTCGGCCATTTTGAATAGGATAGTCAAACCAATATATCTGTCTATCTATGACATGATATATAATGAATATTTAAAATTTGAATATAATCTGTGGAAGCAAGTCGGAGATATGGCTCTAGCCCATTCATTAAAACAAAATGGCCGCAAGACAGCCATTTTGAATCTGATCTGAAAAATAAATGTTGTGCATCAGAAACCTGTAATATCTAATGCATGTACAAAGTATGAACAAAATCTATCTATAAATGCCAGAAATGCTTGATATTTGATGATTTTTTTAGCACAAAAATGGCCCCCATCTATGACATGATGTATATAATGAATATTTAAAATTTGAACATAATCAGTGAAAGCAAGTCAGACATATGGCACAAAAACCACATTCATTAAAACAAAATGGCTGCCGGTTGGCCATATTGAATCAGATTGTAAAACAAAATTATGTGGATCAAGGTCCTATAATGTCTAATGTATATATCAAGTTTGAACAAAATCCATCTGTAAACAGCCGAGAAATGCTTGATTTTTATAATTTTTAGCACAAAAATGGCCGCCATTCGGCCATCTTGAATCAGATCGTGAAACAAATTGACGTGTACATGTATAATATCATGTATGATGTATGTGTTTGATTTTGGTTGGTCCAGGCATTTCTAAAATACAGGTCCGAACGCACGCACAGACGTACGCACGGACACACGGCGATCAAAACATAAGTCCCCGTTTTCAGACTTCGTCCGAACGGGGACTAATGAGTGGCCTGGATGGAGTCACAGATTCAGGTGACATAATCAAATGAGTGACCTGGATGGATTCAGGTGACATAATCAAATGAGTCGCCTGGGTGGGGTCACGGATTCAGGTGACATAATCAAACGAGTGGCCTCGATGGAGTCATGGATTCAGGAGACATAATCAAATGAGTGGCCTGAGTAGAGTCATGGAATCAGGTGACATAATCAAATGAGTGACCTGGTTGGATTCAGGAGACATAATCAAATGAGTGGCCTGAGTGAAGTCATGGATTTGGGTGACATAATCAAATGAGTGGCCTGGGTGGAGTCAGGGAATCAGGTGACATAATAAAATGAGTGGCCTGGGTGGATTCAGGTGACATAATCAAATGAGTGGCCTGAGTGGAGTCATGGATTCGGGTGACATAATCAAATGAGTGGCCTGGGTGGAGTCATGGATTCAGGTGACATAATCAAATGAGTGGCCTGGGTGGATTCAGGTTACATAATCAAGTGAGTGGTCTGGTGGAGTCACGGATTCAGGTGATATAATCAAATGAGTGGCCTGGGTAGAGTTAAGGATTCAGGTGACATAATCAAATGATGAACTGTTGGA